TTATCTCTTTTATTTCTTTAGTCATCGCATACCTTTCCTCCTCCCCTATTACCTTTTTTGTTGGCTGTTCTCCCAAAAAATATTTTACAGCACGAGAACGTATAACAGCGCCTTGATAACGCTCTTGGTGAAATTTATCGAGCTCAGGTTTTTGCGGATAATATCTTCCAAACCCTGTCCAGAGTTTTGACATTCAAGTTGAACCAAGGCACGGAAATTACTTATCAGCGTCCTCTCGGTCTCATACTTTTGGAATTTTAAAACACTAGCTCTCTCAATTGCTATATGTTTAAATTCTTGTTTAAAAAGCTCCCATTTAGCAGATATATGTTCAGTTGTTCTCCCTATTCGCTCAAAAAGATCGGTCACAGCTGCGACAAAGTTTTCATCGTTTAACAGTTGATTATTAAGTTTCCATACTTTCCAGTTTATACACTTTTTTCTTCGTTTCCTTCCAATTGTTATTGATACCATGCAATGGTTTGTGAAAAGAACTGGATCTACGGCATAACCATTTAAATTGTTAATAAGGTCTACTGAGCAGTAAATCCTATCAAGTCTTGCGTGTGATGTGTTTTGAAGATGGGTATATGGTAAGTGTTTTTCCTTTAGCTGAAATGCTGCGACATCAAAAATATTAGACTCGCCCACAACGTCCTGTAGCAGTCGTTCACTTTTGTCAATTCGAAGTTTATATGGTGATCTGTCTGCTCCGTCGCAAACGCAGTTAAAGTCTCCAAGCAGAACTACCATTCCATCACAAAGTAAATAAGGTCGTAGGTGATCAAAAAAAGTTACTCTAGCATTCACGTCATTCGGTGCATACACGCATATCACTCTCCACATTATGTCGGAAACTCGGAAGTCGCACATAATGAAGCGCCCGCAAAGGTCTGTCGTGGCAGCTAAATCAAATGAAAAGACTTTCTAATAAACAATAAACATCCTGCGGAGAGACATACAGCATGGCTAACGCATACCTCTTAGTCGTACAGGAAATGTTGCATGGCCTGTTCTACCTGTTCTACCGTTGACAGTTTTGTTTCCTGTACGGCTAGAAAGTCAACCTCTTTGTCTTCAAGTAGACGTTTCAAATGATACTGTTTCTTTCGTGAGTTAAATCCTCTTACGTTTAGGGTAACAATACGAAGGCTATCAGTTAAAGTTAATGGAAGGGGAGGAGGGGGTGAGGATAGGATAGAGGAGAGGGAGGTGGAAGGGCAAGGCGAGGGGGTAGGGAGGGGTTTGTTCATGTACTCTAGTGTGCAAGGGAGGTTTTTCGCTTACTCGCGATAATGTCAGGCGGGTGTTTTTTCCTCTTGGTGTCACTATTGTCCTTGCACGTGCTGGGGTTCAGGTCCATTGCTGACGGGTCACTTTTGTTGTCAAACGTTGTAAGTCCGTCTGCAGACACCGCTGACTGTTTCGGTGCCTCTGTTTCCGATGTTGACAAGGCGTCCTTGATTGGCCCTTCCTGGGAAGCTTCTTTCTCGGCTTCTGTCGATGTTGTGTCTTGGAGTACCTCCGAAGCTTCTTTTTCAACTTGCTTTTCGCTCTCGCCGGAACTCTGGGGCAGTGCCTCTCTGGGCTGCGCTTGAGTGGAAAGAACATCTCCGCTAGCATCCATGACCTCGGAGATGTCCATCAAAAGTTCCGGGTTGGCGTCAGGGTCGTTGCCAGAGCCTCGTACTACAGTTGCATAGCTTGAAAAGCACTCGTCACTCTCATGCCCAAATCGATTACAACGCGCGCATTTCGGAGTACGGCACTGTCGTCGAATATGACCGACCTTCTTGCATCGTAGACACAAGGGTGGTCGTCCCGACATCACCAGAAGGGATTGTATGCCGGAAACCTTCAGTAGGTGAGGTATGTCTTCTGACGTCACGGTGTCGTGCAGCGTTAGGCAGACCTCCCTGTTCAACGTCTCCATGTTCTCCATTCCTGGCACGCGCCACTTTTCTCGCGCCATGCTTCGAACCGTGCCGAACGGTGCTAAAGCTTCAACGACCTTTTTAGCTTCTAAGTATGACGGCAGCCAGAGTAGCTTGAGCTTCACGTCCTTTGAGTTCGGGTCGATGATTAAACACTTCTTCCCTTTCACGCTGAGTTCTTTCGCGGTTGTCAACTTTTCAGTGGCTTCAGGACTAGCCAGAGTCGCCATCCACACATGGCTCATCTGAAACTGCCCGAGAGACACCACTTCGCTGAGGTCGACGACCCCTCTAAGTCCATCGCGAAAGTCAACTGCACGGTAGGGCCGACCCGTGAGGTCAGCGTGGAGGAAGACCGAGTTTACGCACAAGGCTCCAGGTGAAAACGTGGAAGTATAATCTTATACTCATCTTGGCCGGTTGCCGGAATAGGAACGTCTCTTGGGGCCACGGGTGCCGTTGCAGTGTTCTCCGAGTACATCTTGTGATTTTCGTTACCAGTATAAGAAGCAGAGGTAGATGGGTTTCCTCGGCCTGAAGCCGATTGTTGATTTTCGACGGAGAACATGAAAGCACGACCATTCTAAACGGCGTCTTCTTCTTTCTCCCCCTCGACCACAACCTGAGCTACGAGCACATTGCTTCCGAGACCGCTTAACTCTTCGTAGTTGTCCGTGTGTGCAATTCAGATCACGTGATTTCCCGCGCCCTACTTGACTTTTGTAATGCGCTTAAAACAGGGTGCGTCGTTACCGCAGGTCATGTGTCCATGGTCGTGTGACGTTGATCGTCTTGGTTCGTCACCACGACTCCCATCACGTGATGTTAACCACGTGATTTTCCCCGGGTTCGAGTTGCGTTCGACAGAGGGCGCTCACGTGATGTCATCAGGGTTGGTGTTGCATCCGACAGAGGGCGCTGCGCTGCGGTCACATGACGCTCACGTGGGATGTCATCAGCACGGCTCCCATCACATGATTCTAACCACGTGTTTTCCCCCGGTTCGAGTTGCGTCCGACAGAGGGAGCTCACGTGATGTCATACAGGGTTCGTGTTGAATCCGACAGAGGGCGCTGCGCCGCGGTCACATGATGGTCACGTGACATTATTTGAATCGCTGCGCGGTAAACGACTTTTATTCGCTAAAAAAAGGCTCTGCGGCGGCTGCGGATCGACCTTGTGCACAGGAGCCCGACACTCTACCCCCTGAGCTAGAAGCACATTGCTTCCTAGAGGGCTTAACTCTTCGTAGTTGTCCGTGTGTGCAAATCAGATCACGTGTTTTCCTGGCACTTGGCTTTTGTAATACGGTTAAAAAAAAAGGATGCGTCATTGCCGCAGGTCATGTGTCCATGGTCGCGTGACGTTGCTCGTATTACTATCACGTGATTTCGCGCGCGCGCGATTCAAACGATGCTCGCGAACTCGTAGCCTCGTGGCGCCCCCTTAGCTGTTGCAAATGGGGTCTTCGACCCGCTGAATTTTGGCGTCATGTGACGGTCCCAAATAGAAGCAGCTGGGGGTCCCGCAAAATTGAGGTGAAATGTAAAAATTTTGAAGCTCGCGGACCGTGATTGATGTTGATCCTGCGTAAAGCTTTAAAGTGGCCCTGTTAAAATTCGGGGGCAAGCTCGTAACACTTTGCAAAGACCCAGCATATTTTGGGAATAGGTGCCATCTAGTGTTCAATGTGTGAAGTGGTCCTCGTCCAAATTGGGTGCCATCTGGTGGTAAAAGCTTCGACCCGCTATAAATTTTGGGCGTCATGTGAAGGTCCCAGTTAGCACCGGTGCCGCTAAATTGGGGGTGATGTCACGCTCACGAACCGTGCTAAGCTGAAAAACAGCGTAAAGTTTTGAAGTGGCACTGACATATTTGGGGGGGCTGGCCCCAGCGCGTAAAACTCTGAAGTGGCCCTGATGAAATTTCGGGCCCAGCGCGTAAAACCTTACACAGTCCCATCCAATTGTGTTGTATCCAACACCTAGCGTTAAAACTTTGAACTGGTCGAAGATTATTTTTAAATTCAATGAGATGAAGATAGCATTTCCTCTTCTCGATTTTGCGCGAACACAGTTTACATCTGGGATTTAGGCGTACGAGTTGTCAGCTCCGTTCATAGATGGTGCGAGATTTTGTTTCTAAGCGTCTTCGTTGTTAGGGCATGAGTGACATCTGGCGGTGTGGGTGTGACCTTGCGACATATTTTGCTGAAAAGTTAAATTGCTCGTGTCGCTAAGGCGTGCTCATCCGTATTTTCGCGCGCGCGCAATTCCGGGCTTTGTGAGTTGTCGATTGCGTTTGTAGATGGCGCGCACCTGAATCCCTTGGCTGGCGTGAACCATTATCACGCGAAATGTCTTCCTAATTTTAGCGCCAGCTTGGTAGATGGCGTCAACTCTATCGCGCGCGCGATATCTCTCGCTAATTTTATCGTCATCTGCAGCTGCTGAACGGAGCAGTGTGGGAAAATGGAACGGAGCGTGACCGCATCCTTACGCTAAAAATGAGACAGATATGGTGTTTCATTTTGTTTTATTCTCATAAGCTCTAAAGACATCCACACTTCTAAATACAGATACGGCACTTAATTTTTTTTTTTTCACTCTACGCAACAAAGACGTGATTGGAAACGCTTTACACCAAAAAATGTACAACACAAGCACAGTTTCGAGACACATCCGAGGCAAAAAAAGTTTTGAAATGACATCTCACGAGCAACGCGCGCGCGATCCTCGCATCACAGATAACTCCTTGACGATGTCGCTCACAAATATTTTACAATAAAAGGGACCACGAGACAAAAAACAAAAAAAAAATGGATTCACTACATCTCGTAGACGAAGCAATGAAACACCTCTTACCTATTTCTTGTGAGAAACGAGGCACTTTGCCGGACTTTTCGCGAACAGGCACACTCACCGCTTTCGCTGTAAAAGGTGTATGATGGGCTTTCGCTTTCGCACTACGCTGGGGAGTCAATTATCGCTGTGTAAAGAAAAGAAGGCAGTCCGAACAGTGTGTCCTGCAAAGGGGGACGCCCTGTATTTTCGGAGCCCCCACACGATGGAACCCTTTCCCTACTTTTGCGTCTACGATTTCGAGGCCATTCTGGAAGCGGAAAACATGGGTCAGGCATACGAGAAGCACGTCCCCAGTTCATTTTGCATACTCGTAATCCGATCCACGGACTCGCGCATCGTCGAGCAGTTTTTATACCGGGGCGAGGACTGCGTGGAAAAGTTCATTTCCATCCTTAATCAATTGTCAAAGCTCATTGGCGAATGGATTCGAAGCGAGGAAGTGCCAATGGTGAGCGTGAACGAAGAGGCTCACGCGTCGGCCTCTCACTGCGCGATTTGTGGCGAATCGTTTGGAAATCGAAAGAGAAAAGTGAGAGATCACGACCACTTCAGCGAACCGTACAGGCAGTCGTTGTGTCAGGGATGCAATTTAAATATGAGAGTAAACAAGAAAGTCATTCCAGTGCTCGCGCACAACCATTCGTATGACCTGGCCTTTATACTACCCAAACTCGACTTATTCGAGTCTAAAGATATTAAAATGCTCGCCACTAGCTGCCAGCAATTTAAGCGACTCGACGTGGGTAACCTGCGGTTTCTCGACAGTCTGGCATTTCTCCCCGCCAGCTTGGATGCGCTGGTTCAGGACCTCCGTTCCAAGGGACTAGAAAACCTGTGCTGTCTAAAGCAGGCTTTTCCGCAGCACGTTGAGCCTCTGGCGCGGAAAGGCGTATTTCCCTACGACTACGTGACCAGTTTCGAGGCTTACCGGGAGCCCGAGCTACCGCCGCCCGAGTCGTTTTACAACAAGCTTAACGATAGCCAAATTTCGGAGGAGGACTACCGTCACGCCCAAACCGTCTTTGAAACATTTAATTTCAAAAGCCTAGGAGAATACAGTGACTGCTACCTGCATCTCGACTGTCTACTTCTCGCCGACGTGCTCCAAAATTTCAGGAAATGGACTTTAGACACGTACGAGCTCGATCCGCTTCACTATGTTTCCCTCCCCGCGCTCAGTCTGGCCTGCGCACTTAAACAAACTGGGGTGAAACTGGAGCTGCTCGACGATGTGGATGCGTATCTCTTCATCGAAGCGGGTCTGCGAGGAGGAATCATTCAATGTGCCATTCGCAACACGAGGGCTAACGTGCCAGGAACCGCACGTTTCGATCCGAGCACTGCGGTTTCTCAAATTTTAGACCTCGATGTGAACGGTCTTTACGCTTCCACCATGCGACAATCCCTTCCATGCGCCGATTTTCGCTGGCTAGACCGCGAGGAAATCGACGCTCTCCACTTCCAGCAGGTTCCCGACGACGCGCCAGGGGGTTACATTTTAGAGGTGGACCTTGACTACACTCGGGAACTACACGATTCGCACGCGGACTTTCCCCTGGCTCCCGAGAAACGAGGAGTCCCGCTCGAATGGCTCTCACCCTATCAAAAAGCGCTCGTCGAAAAATTTCACCTACTCCAGCGAGAGTCTGAGCGAAAGTTGCTTCTCACCTTTTACCCGAAACGCAATTACATTATCCACTACCGAAACCTCAAGCTGTATCTGGAGTTGGGCTTAAAACTAAAGGTCATTCTTCGCCTTTTGAAGTTTTCGCAGAGGGCATTCCTTAAAGATTTCATCGACTTTAACCACAACCTCCGAAAACAGGCGGCAAATGCTTTTCAAAAGAACTTATCTAAGCTCATTATGAATTCAATTTATGGCAAGACTATCGAAAACCCACGTCAGTACAACAACGTTGTCATTAGCGTGAGCGAGGACGAAGTGCTGAAAAACCTGCAGAAGCCTAACCTCAGACAGTTTGCGGCAATTAGCCCGGCCGTGGTGATCTTTCAGTTTTCTCAGAGAACCCTACACTTGAACAAACCCGTGTACGCGGGCTTTTTCATTTTAGAGATGTCCAAACGGGTCATGTACGAATTTTTCTACAAGCAGGTCAGGCGCGTTTTCCCCGACGCTCGCGCAGCGTACAGCGGCACGGACTCGTTCATCCTCCAAATCACCGACCCGGATGTAGACTCGAAGCTCGCGACCCTTGTCGAAACTCACCACTTCTGGGTACCCGGGCGATCACCCCTTGTTCTCTCCCGCAAACAAAATGAAACTAGGAGTGTTCAAAAACGAGCTCCCAAAAGATCACATTCTTGGATTTGTTTGTTTAAAACCCAAACTCTATTCGATGGAACTAGCCTCCCGAGAGCACTACGTGAGGGCGAAAGGAGTGAAAAGGTGCGAGTCCCGTAAGCTAACCTACGAGCTGTACGTTCAAACTCAAACCCATTCTTTACCGGAACGCGTGGGAGAGTGTTCCCATTGTTCACACGCGCCTTATCATCCATCACGTGGTCTTGATGCTTGCTTTCTAGTTTCCTTTATTGAAACGGATACTGAGCTGTATGCTGTATGCCTGATTTCAAAGGAGATATGCTGTTTTGCCTATAATTGTTCGCCGGGAGTTTTTTTTGCTTACAACACTAACGACACGACCATTTCCTTGGCTGGCAGAGGTATACAGTTTCGCCGTAAAAAGGCTTTCCTGCTTCGCGCGTGTATCACCGGGACGCCTGTTACCCCCCCCCCCCCCCCCCCCCCCCCCCCCCCTGCGTTTACGCCGCTTTGGCGGCAGTCTGCGGCGACTAATTAAAAAAATGTTAGCTCACCTGAACCGTCCGTACACGCCGCTTCGCGGTGGCCGAATTCGCTAAAGGGAGGCTCATTGCCATATTCTCTAAATTGGGTTCTATGTCGGTGAAACGGCGTTCGCTAAAACGAGTTTCTCTAAACCACATGCTTCCGGGTTTACTACAGTTGATCGAACTCCATTTCATCGAAAGACGTTTTAGAGAACGGGCACGTTTTATCGAAGCTCGGTTCAGAGAAAGGGGAGCCTCAATTTAGAGAAAGTCAGTTTATCCAAAACGAAAGCTGTTTAAAAAAGGCTTTCCTGCTTCGCGCGTGTACCACTGGGGCGCGTGTTAACACACCCACCCCCGCCCCGTCTCCCCCTCCCCCTCCCCCATCTTAAAGGGACATTGACACTCCCCAAATTTTTTTTTTCATTTTTTGCCAGGCGATTTATTATGGTGTTGGAATACTACCCAATTAATTTTTTTGCTACAAAGTCACGTGTTTTTTTTTTAATAAAGCAAAAAAAAAAAAAAAAAAACGCCACTGCTCAAAACTGAAACCGAAACCCACGCACCGCACGGAGATGTGGAGAGGAGAGAGGAATTCTATCATTTGTAGTAATGCATCCCGTCGAGTGTATGTCGGAAAGTTTTGCTGCCGATTTCCCTCGAATGCATGCATTCCCGGCTTGAAGTCGGGCAGCACCACGCATTGGCCACATTCGCACCGAGTAAAGAAACCGTACGCGTGCGTATTCAACTTGATGTACGCACTTCGTGCTTGACGTTTGCGCGAGCGATGTCTTCAGCCACGAGAAAGGACGGCGGCTCGGCGACGTCTTCGTGCAATCGGCTTGCTGGTCGGGCGTGCCGTACGGGATGAATATCAATTCTTTTGATCGGTCCACAATTTCTCTTTCGAAGGAAGACCGGATTCGCCGGTGCCGTGAACGACAGTTCTGAAGTAGAGGTCCCACGCCCGTCGTCCGCTGCCACCCGCGAGTCCCACCCACGAAACGCGAAACGACGCCATTTTTAGAATTATGCGGTGAACGCACAGAATGCTTCCAGTTGTCTGTGCAACCTTTCTTTTTTTTTTTTCAATCAACGTATTTGCAGCTTTTTGAAAGCCACAAAAAATGAGTTTCAAATATTTTTTCCTATTTTTAGTATTGACTGTGTGCCAGAACTTTGATTAAATTTGGTGGTAGTGTCTAAACCTTAGAAAACTGCCCGTGACCACGGAGAAGAGAGTGAGCGCGACTCAAACCGGCGAGTTCTCGATCGGCGGTTTTCGGGCGGAAAGAAACCAAATTTCGAGCCGCAAATTATGTTCGGGGTTGTTGGGCTCTCATATGTCACGTACAACTAAAAACCTCGACGAGCATAAATGCCCTGTCAGTGTCCTTTTAACGCCGCGAAGCGGCGTTAACGAGGGGTGGGGAGGGGGGGGGGGGGGGTTACGACGCGCCCCAGAACACAAAAATGTTAGCTCACCTGAGCCGCCTGTAAACATGAACCTGAACCGCCCGTAAACAAAAATGTTAGCCAGCTGAACAGCCCGTAAACGCCGCTTGGCGGCGGATGAATTTACTAACAGGAAGCTCATTGCCATTTTCTCTGTACAAGTTTTTTTTTTATAAAAGGTGTTCGCTAAAACGAACTTCTCTAAAACGCGTTCGCCGCGGTAGATCGACGTTTTCACAGTCGCGGTATCTCCACTCGTCATCGAAAACACGCCGCTTTGATTTTTGCGGGGACCGAGCGCCGCAATCGTACCACTGCGACGGCTTTGTTCATATTACCATATCTCTGCTCGGCGTCGAAAACGCCCCACTCGCTTTTTCCCGGGCACGATCGAGCACGAGTAACACAATTCTTCGCACCCTCTGTCAAGAACCGCCACGGCGATCTCGTGAATGATATTCACGTGGATACAGTTGCAGACGCGGACGTCAAAAGGCTATTTTAGATTCTAGAGCCCAAGCATAAGGTAATAAAATTGTTACCGCGTCCGACTTGTTACGATCACGCAGCAATCCTAGGGCATTCGTTCCAACTGTTCTGTTTTGGCAAACACACTTGTGTCTCAAAACGTGGGCGAGTAATAAAATCGAAAGAATGGTACCAATGGTTGTTTCACGTCTTGCTTTGATCGTGTCACAGGGGGCGCTTGATTTTACGCCGAAAAGGGGAAAAAAAATCTGCCTCTCTAACTTTGAAATTGACGTGTCGGCAGTTGACGTGGAACCAAACCCCAGGTTAGGGTTCCATGCGAAAAGATCCCTCCCATTCGGAAGTTCTCCCCTAACCAGGGTGTCGAACCGGAACCGAACCGAACCGAAAACCGGAACCGAACCGGTACTTTTCCGGAACTGAACCCGAACCCGAACCGTTATATTGTTATCGCGATGAACCCGAACCGGAACTGAACCGGAAAAAAATAACGGTTACCGGCTCATGTCAAAACGGTTCGGCCACGCGCTGTTGACAATGAATGTGCTATCAATGCCGTTTGTTTTTTAAGTGCCGTCAACTGACACACACCTCGCTTACATATTTTTCTTCTCCACTCAGTCTTAGGAATATAAACGCTGCATCCATGAATCTTGACAAACGCTGCATCCATGAATCTTGACATAGGAATAAGTATTGTGCTGGTCGCGGCTTGCACGAAAAAAAAAAATTAAAAAGCGGTGCAAAAAAAAAAAAAAATCGCGTCACGGGATTTTATTTTTTTACAATCTCGTAAATCCTAAATGCTGCTGTGTGCTCATTTCATAACACGTTTCTAGAACGCGCGAGTTCTTGAAGCTTGCTTCATCGGAATCAGAAAAAAAAAAAGGCTGCGGAGTTTGATAATAATGCATCCGGTTTCGTATAGGCACTTAGAAGCTAACATACTTGTGAGACAGCGAACTCTTGTATTTTAATATTTATCCTATTACGTCCTTCTGGCGTTGCGTTCGGTGAAGTGTTTTTCATATTCCGTATCTTGTTTAATGAAAACTTCTTTAAGGGTCTAATTTGAGTTACCGAAGGCTAGTTCAAATAAAGAAAGCTGTATTTTCTCCCCACTGTTCCTTCAATTGCTTACACGCTGAGGTGGCGGGATAGTTAGCGAGTTCTACTTGTAAGTGGGTTTGTAAGGAGGTTGCAGATTTTACAGCTACTGCGTCGGACCCAATTAGATGAAGTCCGAATGCGTAAAGGTCGGTGAGGTAACCTTTGAGTGCACTAAAGAAACCATTCCTGGTAGAAATCCCTGAGCCTTACACAACGATGTATCCCGTTTCGTATGGGCTGATTTCAGATGTTTTATTTGTAATTTATTTTGATGTTGCAATTTGTCATTTATAATTTCCGAACCGGTTCGCGAACCGGTTCGCGGATCGAGTTAGTCGAACCGGAACTGAACCGGAACAAAATAAATTTACCTGAACCTGAACCGTAACCGAACCCGTATTTTTTTCGGTTCGACACACTGCCCCTAACACAAACTCTAAAAATGTGCACTTTTTTTTTCTTCTTTTTAGTCGTTTCTGGCTGTTTTGTTGGAAGTTTGTTCAGAACCCCCACATAAACCATCTTTTCACAAGCTAGCAGACACACGAAGATTGACGTCAGCAATTCATTCCACTCTAAGCTTTAAAGAAAACGACGAGAACTATTATTTTATGTATTAAATATTTTATACAGTACCATGTTGGTCTGTGTTACGAAGACCTGCGTTCAGGCTTAAATAGAAAAAAGCAAATATTATTTAATTCTTCAATCAATCTTTGCGTAAAAAATTCAGTGTGATTGGCTCGATCAAGTACCTTGGCTGTCCGGAAGAGTCGGATGTGTGTATTCTTGATTCCAAACTTAAGCGATCCTGGTGTTGAGCGTGAACTCGACGCTCGCGTGACAGAGACTGTTCGCACTTTACGGCCGCGGTTTGCTGCAGCTTTTATTTCGCGGAGATCTGCCATAGCAAAGTTGCCCCAGTTGATTGCAAAGCATTACAGCACTTCAAGAAGCCAAGAGATGCGAAACACATAACACAAGACCGATTGAATGGCGGAAACACGAAACCTAGTGGCAATGTTTCCCTTAGAAGAATGGATAGTTGGGTGAGTTGGTGTTTCCCTTTAACAGCATGCAAACAAAACCCGAACCGGAAGTGTGCTTGGCTCCGTGTCATGGCGGCCGAAAGTGGCCCGAATCTGGAAGAAGCAAAAGTGCGCAGGCGAGGTGGTAAGGCAACATCACACCCCTGAGACACAGAGGAAATAAAATAACGGACAAGACGACATAGAACCCTCAAAAGCAGTTGGGTTTATTCGCAAAGAAACAGCAATATATAGCCATCCACGCGCATAGGAAAGAACAAAGACAAAAGACATGCCGCCGCAAAGATTTGCGGAACATAGCCATACAGACTGACCTCCAACACTGCCTCCCGTGGACCACCCACCCCTCAACACCAACACACAAAAAAAGGCTCGAGGTACACCTAAGCACTTCTTATGAGTTGTGAATGCGAAAGCATGCAAGCCGCTCGTCCGCTCCTTTTTTCGTGTGGATGCCAGAGGCGACGCCATTTGGTCGGCGACGAGACGAGCAGAAGCCGCC